ACCCAATGATGGTACTCAGTGTTATTGGTCAAGAACATACAATAGTATTTACACAAGAAGCTCATCTCCTTTCAACTCAGGAACAATGTTCCTGTTTGCAAAAGATCAAGAGTCTTCCCTCTCACTTATCACAACTGAGAATTTATTATTCTCCTTTGCCTAACTGTTCTAACTACTCTCTAACTGTCATATCAACCTATTCTATTGGACTTCTGCCATCAATTACAGTTAATGGGCTTTCTTTCTTTCGTGTTTCTCCCTAACAGATGTCCTGAGAGAATGGGAATGACAGAGATAGAGATGATAAATTTGATTCGTAAGCAAACAGTTGTCTAGATTATGACATACAAGAGAAGTTTTGCTTGAAAGGTGTCTAACATTTAATTATGCCAAAGAGGGTGAAACATGGTATGTTGTGTGCAGTAGACGCAAATAAATTTATTACCCCACAATGATGGATAACATGATAAACTAATTTCACATCTAAAAATAAAGTAGAAAACGAAGATTGGAAAAAGTTCTAATGGGTTGATTAATGAAATTGAATGGGAAAGTGCTCACCAAGTTGTATGTCCTGCTTTTCAATATATATTCTTGGTAAGTCTTGTCAGTTTATATTGGCTAGATGCATTTCTTGATTTTCTTTTTCTTTTATTTCTAAAATCTGTCACTTCATTAAAAGAGGACTTTCTTTTTAGAACAGTTGAGTTAGGAAATCCAGATTGAGAAATTCCAATTGGAAGAAGAGTAACCAATAGAGTGCTTGACTAGGAATTTGTTTGTTTAAACATATTTTTAATAATATGCATTTGTTTTTATTAAAAACACTTATTGAACATTTCTTAATCTGTTTGAATTAGTTTTCTTTAAATAAGATTTTTCATATTTTCTGAAGCAACAATTAGTAGCTTCCTAAAAACAATGGATTGGGATGTCAATCCGGGCTTAAACCATTGATCTAGTTTTTACATAAAACTTTTCTCATTCATTATAATTCTTGTTTTTAATTCTTTTCTTGAGTTATGCAATAATCTAGGTTTCTTATTTATGCTTTGTTCTGCATCTGCACCTGAATGTGTTTACAGGCGCTAGGATTTCCCATGCCTTACTTTGCGCATGTATCCTTGATTTTAGCTCCTGATCGGAGCAAATTATCAAAACGACATGGAGCAACATCAGTGGGTCAGGTGAGGTTGATTTATCATTTTTTTCCATATTTTATCCTTCTTAAATTTATGTTATGACTTACCTGGTCTGACTTGACTCTCTTTCCTTTATAATTTTACTATTTAAGTTTCCCAAAATCTTCTTCTCTTGTAATGATAATTAGTTTTAAAATCTAATAACTGCTTACTCACAGTTCCGAGAGATGGGATACCTACCGGAAGCAATGGTGAATTACCTAGCATTATTAGGTTGGGGAGATGGGACTGAAAATGAGTTTTTTGCGCTTGATCAACTTGGTTAGTTATTTTTGTTACTCTACCTTTTGAGCGTATTATTCATAAGAAAATCATATCTTTTACTATTTGTTTTCTAATAGGAAATTTGCTTGGCAATTTTCTTACTTTGAGAATGCTTTTCTTGTGTAAACAGTTGAAAAATTCACTATAGAACGTGTTAATAAAAGTGGTGCTATCTTTGACTCAACGAAGTTAAGGTAATTTCTTGCCTTTTGCCTACTTGATAAAAGCATAATCGATGTATTATTATTTCCATAGTAAGTCTATATCCTTCATTTTGAGGTCATGTGGGTCAAGTTTCTTACAATTACTAAATACAGACAGGTTTTTGTTCTTAATTGGAAATTATTGCTTTTGTTTCATCAATTCTAGGATGAGGAGTAATAGGAACATATTCTCTAGCGCACTTTTTTCAACACTTTTTTATTGTTACTACTTACTAGCACTTCTCTTGTAGAGTACATGTTGCATTTTATAAGATTGCATGTACAATAAGTTTATTTAGTCAAATTGCAATATTGGATTCTACGACTGGCTGCGCTCAGGCATTGTTGAGAAAAGTAAACAAGTATTACAATTAATAGCCCTGTAATTTCCTTTGTCTTCCAATTTAGGTGGATGAATGGTCAACATTTAAGAGCACGTCACTCAGATGAATTGACCAAAGTTATTGGAGAATACTGGAAGACATCTGGCATACTCACTGTATCAGCTGGGCCCTTTGTTGATGTGAGATCTAGTTGCATGCTTTATTGATTCACACTCCTTATATATACAATTGGCTTAGTTTCATTTTCTGAAGCATAATGATATTTTTTTAATGTTCTTGTTCCATCTTGCAACAATGGACTCAAAAGTTAGTGATAATACATGGTTGACCAACAGGAAGCAGTTCAACTACTTAAGGATGGGATTGACTTGATAAATGATGCAGACAAGGCCCTTGCAAACTTGCTTTCTTATCCTTTACATTCTACATTACAGAGGTGATACTCATTCTTCTGAGAGGATAGTTTTTAATTGACCTGATAAAATGAGCAAGGTTGAGTTGTGCAAGCTTTTGTGGATTTAGCCTGAGGATCACAACTTGTTGCTGGCTATAATTTTGTATTATATTTGTAGAACAAGTGTTGATTTACAATGGCAGTGGTATATGCATTATTAAAAATTACAACTCTGAATGTTGCTGGCAGTGATGAAGCAGAACCTTTGTTGCAAGATAATCTTTCTGAGTTTGCTGCTAGCCTCGTGGCCGCCTATGACAGTGGTGATCTGGTGGCAGCACTTGAAGAAGGCCATACTGGCTGGCAAAAGTGGGTGAAAGGCTTCGGTAAATCGCTGAAGCGGAAGGTGAGCATAATAGGACAGTCTTAAACACCACTTGCATTCTATTCAGAAAATATTTTAGAAAAGTTGTGCCTTTATAGCCTTATTTTCCATGAACGTGCTTAAGCCAGTTGTACTTTTCTGTTGATGAATTTGTTCATCAAACTGAAAAAATATGTGGATGTACTCCTTCCTAAAATCCATGTAATTTTTAAAGTTTGCAGACTAAATTCATTGATATGAAAATATATGAAACCTTGATCACGTTTATTTTTCCATATTAGAGTAAATTTGTTTTGAAGCTCTCGTTTATAGAAGTGTGAGATAGGAGTTGCTTGTCCGTCAAAAAAAATTCTCTCTTTTTGCTCTCTCCTTTGTGGAGATAAGCATCATTAGGACACATTTCCATTAATGAGGGACCAACTAAGGTTTCATTTTTTAGGGACTAAAAGAGAACATTATCCTATTTGAATTTGCAGAGACTAAATACATATATAAACCAATATATTTTCAGTAACTAAACTTATCTCCACTTTGTGTTCAAGGGAAAATCGCTTTTCATGCCTCTCCGAGTTCTGTTGACTGGAAAACTTCATGGACCTGACATGGGGGCAAGTGTTGTATTGCTCTATAAAGCTGTAACCACTGTTGTAGTGGCTCCTGAAGCTGGCTTTGTGACACTGGATGAAAGATTCAAAATGCTTAGGCAAATCAACTGGGAGACATTGTCCAAGGATCAACCTGTCAAAGAGACTGCTGCTCCTGTCTAACTGAGAGATCACTATCAAATAAAACCATGGTTTCTTACACTTCTGTTTCATGCAAATTTGAGTACAGAAATCTGTTTTGTAATTTTCCCAAGGATCTTGTTTAGGCATAATAATGAGTTCCTTTTTTTAGATAAGGTTTTTCTTTCAATTTGACTAGATATATGGGCATTTTTTGGAGTGATGTATTTTTTTTTTAATTATTTTAATAAAATTTGGACAAGAGAAATATTACTACTTTCTTTTTATACAAACAGAACATTAAATTGTCCATGACTCCTCGAGTGTTTAATGATAACTGCACTTCAACGCGTATTTACAGCAGATAAAACAAATATATTTATGAAGAGCAAAGTTATTTTACTAGAAGAATTGTTTCAAAAAGCAATACAAATTGTTGATTTGTGTACAATGCAATTTTTGAATGGAGAAAGTAACTAATGACTATTACTTAGGGGAGCTCAAATGTATGTTCAGTCTCACCTGCTTTGATTAAGCTTGAAATACTGTAGTCAAATAATACTATAAATATATTATGCATTGAGTTACCAATTGTGGTTCAAAACAAAATTTCTTGTCGAACAAATTACAAGTTAATTAGGATCATGATCATGTCAAATTATTAGATATTTTATTGTAGTTTTAAGCCATTTAAAAAACATAAGTCTAACACATTTTGTTGAAAACTTAATTCTATCAACATCGAATTTTAAGCCTATTGACTTATTTAATTCTAAGAAATTTGCCAGACACAAACCTCTTCTGCCAACTAACTTTAAATATAGTCATGGACAAGTATTTTCAATTATTGTCAAATTTACTGTTAAATAATTATAATTATTTTGGAATATTATTTGTATGTCCTTATCAGTCAATGATTAGAGACTAATCAGATAGTACACAACTAAGAATTAAATCCTGGTCTGCATTTAATTTTAAATACAAAATTTTATGGTGCATTCTCTAAACTCTTAAGCCAAACACATAGCGATGTACTCTTCTGTTGACCAAGAAGCAGAGAAAAAGCCGTGAGACTAATGCAAACATTCTACTCATTGCAAAACATTAACGAAGCATTTAAGTAGAAAAACATTAAAGCATCTTCACATTGGTTACATTGAAATAAATCGCAAAAATACCGATCCCAATATCAAACTTTCTTCCCTTTGTTTCAATTCCATTCTTCACGAGCATGCAACTTGCCATGTAATGAACATGTTGAACTGCAATCCACGTTAGAGATTCTCTTGTCAAAACCACAACCTAAGATCCAAAACAATTAGTTTAATAATAAAAACATTTTCACACCAAAGGTTGAACCGCTTAAATTCTAGGAAACGCCCACCAGAAAAAAATGAAATATTTACAGAATTCATGATTTTAGTTGCTATACAAACAAGCTGTATACATTTTTATGCCTCTGAGGCGAAGCTTTTGATTATCTTCATAGAGTCAACTGATTCATGTTGGTTTGTAAATTTTCACGAAGAACATCCTCTGAGAAGATGAAATGCTTAGTTCCACCAAACATGCTGGCTAAATTCAGAATTACACTCTGATACGAGTAGTTTGGAGGCAGGACAGGAATAGGAAGAGAAGGGACACATGTAGGAAGGAATTTGTTTTCTTTGTAAACTGGTGCATATAGGGTCAACACTGCCTGACAAAATATGAATCTGCACAAAGTGGGAAACAATCTTCGCATAAGAACATAGACTCAGTTGTAAACTTATAAACACAATCATGAGCACAGAATTTACTCGACGGTCATTGCATGATGTAAAAGTAACTCAACGCTTGAGATTTACAACAGAAACTTTAGGTATCAGTTAAGATTTAAAGACTTTAGTTAGTTGAGACAATTTATAAGTCTAAATTCCTGTACAAACAACAGAATTTGTGGGCACTAGCATAGTGAGACTAACTCCTAGTTATCCATTGTTCCACCCAAAAAGGCAGTCCAAGGTTGAATTTTGGATAATTTTAAAAGGATTTAAAAAGTGTTGATTGGTGTATTGAGCCCTCAGGACAATAGAAGAAACCAAAAATTTTCTTCAAATGAAGCATAAGTATACATTAAACCAGTGTTAAATTTTTAACAACAGCCCTAACAATCTTGAAAATTGTGATAAATCATCAATAATAATGAGTTAATAAAACTGACAGAAGCATAATACAAGGATAGAAGTAAAGATGTGTCACAGAAGACATGGTATAAGTCTAGCTTACAACTTTGAAAGGAGTAAATAACAATAATAATACTAATAATGATGATGATACTAATAATAATAATAATAATAATAATAATAATGATATAAAGTAATGAAATATATTGAGCCCTCACAACAGTAGAAGGAACTAAATTTCTTCAAATAAAGCATAATCACACATTAAATTAGTGTTATGTTCTTAACAATGGCCTCAACAATCTTTAAAATTGCAATAAATCATCAACAAACAATGAATTAACAAATACCAGCAGAAACACAACAGAAAGATAAAAGTCAAAATGTGCCACAGAGGGCAGGTAGTACAGTTTGGAACAGAGAAGTGAGAGAACTATGTGGACAATAATGATGATACATATCCGAAACAGGAAGGAAGACAAGTTTTACCTCAAAATAAGCCTCCTTATGAAGGGATCACCTAAAATCTGCCCCCAAACAGGATTAAGCGTGTCCGATGTTGCCAATGCTAGTCCCCAGTTATTTAGTGAAGATGTGAGTGACATTTCAGCTTTGTTGAATGTGTCCTGAAGTCAAATTTAAGTTGCTAAGGGACCATGCATATAAACTTTCCACTTCCAGAAAATGAAAATACTTTTTTTTTTCTCTAAAATGGAACTTGCTAGCATGAAGGAAGGGGCACTAATAACAGACCAAATCAATATCAGTGCCTGAAAGTCCTAGCAGAAGACAGAAAGCTTGCAGCGGAGCTGTAAGAAACATGGTGAACAGGCCCCCATTTGAATGATGTGAGCAATCAGACACAGCAGGAGAACAGCTTGGTGAAAGGAGCATAGCAACTGGCTCTCCCTTTTCTGCATCAGCTATGGCCTGCATATTTTGATCAATTTCATTTTAAATGGCCTAGAGTAATCAAAGATCAAAGCATGCGAAGAAGGAAAATAGTAGCAATGACTTCTTCCAAACCAATGAACATTTTTCCTTTACACAATTCGTAAAACTTACTTGAAATACCCAATTGATTCAATGACATAATTACATAGGTTTAAATAAGTTTGACTTTCAAGAAAGCATAACTTTCAATACCAGATAGCGGCATAAATTGCCAACACTGGAAATGTCAGTGGTATAGCAGATAACAAGCATACCACTAATTATTTGTTCTTGTAAATACAAGTTGTAATCATCCCTTCATGTAATTAGAATCTTCAAGAACCCTGGGAGAACCACATGATAAAAGCTAGCTATAGTAGTTGGAGAGCCCAAAAGCCTTATAAGAAACTCCATACCACACTAGAATTCCATATTTCCAATGAGGGACTCGAGCAATTTCATACCTTATAAGAAAAACCCCACACTTGAATCCTAAAAATATGCTATTACTATGTGTAAATCACCTAGGCATTTGTTTAGTTTTAAATTTACTGGCAATGGTGTTCTCATAAATAAAGTAGATATTTACTCAGAATGGGAAAAAGGACAAAACAACAGAACCATTGACTTTCCTATGAACCACGCCAAAGGTTTGAGAAGTGTTGAAGTGTTCAAACCAAGCTAGAAGATAATTTCAAATACCAACCCAAACTCCCTGATACTCCATATTATAATATACCTCTGTAGTCAGTTCGTGTGTAACTTTTGTAATACTGTAGTTAAACTGTTGTTTTCAATTAGTTATTTGACAGCTGTATCTGTCACTGAGAGGGGGGTTAGTCTTTAGGTGCTTCATCGTTACAACTATAAATAGCTGATCATTCATTGTTCGTAACTAGAAATTCATTTTTTTATAATTTCTTCTAAATTATCTATCAACTCTAACATCCGTATCAAAAGCAGAATAACTCTAATCCTGTGGATTCTAATCAGAATCCTCCCCTGCCACTGCATGCACAGCCTATACCTTCCCTCTTAACTATTAGGTAAAGTTAGCATATATAGACACAAGTATTATATTCAATAAATTATTTAAAAGAAAATTTAAGCAATAAATAAATTGAGTATGTGAGGCTTGCCTTAAAAGCGTTGCTGTTGTCATTATCAATGATTAAAAGAAGTGGTCTTCTAGTAAATGGCAGAAAGTCAGAAGGATATATGCAGTTTGATCCTGAAAAGAGATTGGGTTAACGAGTTCTGCAATTCCAACAAAAACCATGTCTACTATGAACACTGAAATAATCATCGTTATGCAAATTTATGAACTAGAGACCTATTGAGATATACAAAAAATTTTCAATCTATACCCATGATCATAACTATCGGCTTCTCTTCAGTTTGCTTGGACCTATTTCAGAAAAAAAATAATAATGACTTTAGGCTATTTATGAAAGGAACTGATTTTTAAGAATAGTTGTAACATTTCCCAATGTTTGCATATGGTTTCATAAATACACCCAATGTAACAAGATAACTAGTAAAAGGGTCCATCAATCTTTAACATGATCAAGTTGCAAATCTTTCAGGATATCTTTGCAGGTGTTGGAAAGCCAAGAAGTTTCTCTTCTATTGATATTGTTCCGTCTAGGAACGAGTATGTCTTAATCTTATGTCCACTATAATAATATCATTAGAGTCAATTTCCATATCCGAGATATTGTTCGCTTTGAAGCTTTCGTTCATCACGATTTTGTCCTTAAAAGACATCTCAGTAAGTTAAGAGATAAGAGTGTATATAAACTACTTTTGACCTTGACTCCTTACGATGTGGGACTTCATGAACATACAAAAACAGATACCAATGTTATCCATAGGGGATTATGACCTTCCTTCACAAATGCTTTCCAAAATTTCCAACCGTTGTAAGCATGTCTTAAAAGCTTTGCAACTTCATCATGTTCATCGATAGCCCCAGCTTGGTAGTAAAATTGAGCTATATAGATAGATGGACGTGGACCCTCTCTATAGCTTTCTTGTCACAAATCTCTCTTCTCTTATATTTGGTCACTTCAATTTCTCCTTCTAGAGGTCAATGGTCCCTTCCAAGTATCCTTCCTCCCCTTAGCTCCAATTTTATGTAATTGATCTTCTGAATCTTCTTTACCTTCAGGTTGTACCACCCTTCTAATTTTTCACTCTTTTTTGTCTTCTTATTTTTCTCAATTGCCCATAACTCATTTGTAACTTCTTTAGGATAACTTACGCAAGGTGCAATATTTCTTGTCTTCTCATTAGATGTTACTTTCCTCTAGAAATTCATCCTTTCAAATCTCGCAATAATTACAAAATATTTCATTTTTTGTCATTTTCTTTGACAGATGTGCAGTGTTTTGGTTGAGTGCTTGACATTATCCTTTAAGTGAAAAATAATTAGGACCAAGGTTGCTAAACCTGAGAACAACAAACAAATATTGGTTATGAAATTATAAAATTTAAAAGGAAAAAATCAGAGTATTGTAACCAAAAAAAAAAAAAAAAGAGAATAAGCAAGAAAAAATGAAATGGATGGCTAAGAAAAACAGAGCATCAACTAGATGAAGAAAACTTGAGAAAAGGAGAAAAAATAAATAAATGAAATGGAGAAGTGTTAAAAAGCATAGGATCAACTAGTTGATTACGTTGGCAAAGAGGAGTAAAGAACAGAAAAAAAAATGGAAGGAACAAGAAGAAAAATTGGAAAAAAATTATGGATTTTATGGCTTATCAGTAAAAGTCATTGAAAATGGTGTCAAAGCTCTGGTCGCATCCTCAGTTCAAGTCATTGTTGCAGTTCAGGTTGTCACTGCAGTTCACAGATAAGACTTGGAGAAGATGTAGGGTAGGGTGCATAAGAGAGGCCTTTGGGTTGTTTTAAAATGGGCCAGCTTACAGTCCTAAATCTTTTTATTAATGGCAGATTGCAAATAACGGTGGCAGAAGGTTTCCAAAACTGCCACACCATACCATTATTTGACAACACTGCCTTATAGTTTGATTTCTTTACTACATTGGTGATATCTTTACTCAATATGAAATCTAAAAAAAAAAAAAAAAAAAAATTTAAATTCTTCACCTATTGTATCCTCAGCAGATGGCTCCACTGATCCTGCTATAAGAAGTAATAAATGCACAAACTACTGATTCTATCACTTTAAATATATATATATATGTATATATATATATATATATATATATATATATATAGTTTATTTTTTATGCGATACTTTTTGAATATCCCTATATGAAGGGAATTTATGTAAATATATCTTTTCATGAATATATATAATTACTGTAATAGTAAATATATGTTAATTAGATAGATATCTGCAGGCTTATTTTATTTGGTTCACTCCCGATAAGTGGGATCATTACAATAATGATTTACCTCATTTCATTTCCCCTTCAACATGTTATCTGTTGGAGAATTTAGTCAATTTTGTTATTCACTTATATGATATCACACTCACTGCGTATTCTAGAATAATGGGACAAAGCATCTTATTGGCAGAACATGTTATACATACCACCCACAATTGAAGCCACTTATTGCATGAGGTAAATTTGTGTTAAAAAAGGTGCAAGGGTTCTTTATTGTTCCTTGACCATATACACATCAGGCAATACAAGAATGGAAGTACGCAGATTGTATCCAAGGCATACCTCTATCTCCACGAGGACCAAAGTGAATGCAACCAGATTCATCACTACAATATCCTGCATTTGATGTTGAAAAGACAGAGTTCATCTTTACCTAAAGGAATTTAGTTGACATAAGAAGTATGATAACCCTATAAATTTACATTCTTATATTCGTAGTTAACAGACGATATCTAACCTGAAGCTGACAAATACACCAGGAGAATACCATCAGAAGGAAGCTCCTCACATATTGTGGCAAGAACCTAATCATTAAAAGGAAAACCCAAATTATATCTGGAGGTTCAAAACAACAAATAGTGTAAGAAATAGTCATTACAATGCTAAATGTGAATCTGGATTATATTAGTTGCAGATAGGTGTAGGGAAGCACGGTTGAGTATTTATTAGATTAGTCGTATCTAACTATTGACTTAGTTCCTAAAATATATCTGTTTATCTTCTCTAGATTTAATCATTTTCCCCTATTTATTGTATCTTAGAATCTGTACCTTTATCCCCTATAAATAAGAGAACACAAGAGAAAATGATAAGCTCTCAAAAACATCTTTTTATTTTTCTATCATCTATTTCAAGTTGGTATCAGAGTCGCTTCAGCCATCTGTTAGACACGCCGCTAGGCACCACCTTCGTTTGCTGCTTCCTTCGTGCATGTGGTTCACGCACTGCCTTCCCGGTGGCTGTTTTGCTCCAGACCACCACCTTCTGGCTCGTCTCGTCATCCTGAAGCCGAATCTACCCTTTATTTTATGTTCCAAAAGTTTGGTAAACCCTTTCGTATACACTGTCACAAAACGCTAGTTGTTCTGTGTTCAAGCAAAGCAACACTGTTTCTTGGTACTCTCTCATTGCTCGGTCTTCTCTCTCCAAACATCTTGTTGGATATTTTTTCCTTAAGAGTCCTCTCTTGTTTCCTGAATAAAAATGTCAAGACCTGCAACATATGTATCTTTTTCTGGGACTCCTATAACAACAGAAAAATTAAATGGAAAAAATTTACTTGTCTTGGGCCTCCTCTATTGATCTTTGGTTTCTAGGAGAAGGGGTTCATGATCATCTAGAAGACGACTAATACAAAACCAGCAGATCAAGCTCTTTAATGAAAGAAACTTGATTATCAACTCTGTGCTTTATTATGACAATCAATTGAACCAAATATTTTGAGCACTCTCTGATCCTTCAAGATATGTAATTCCTTTTGAAAAAAGGCCCAAAATATCTTTGCTAATGATATTCAATGGCTCTATGATTCTGCTAATAAACTAGTCTCCCTTAAGCAAGAGGATAATAATATGATCTTCTTTGTTGTTGAAGCTCAATCAGATTCATTAGAGGAGAAAAAGACAAAGCTGGATAAATTCTATATGGTTATGATTCTTAGGGCTATGAATCCATAATTTAATCATGTTAGAGATCAAATTTTAACTGGACAAGAAGTTCCTTCTATGGAGAGTTTGATCACAAGGCTACTTCGTGTTCCATCTATCAAAGATAAAAATAGTCATTGTTGAATCTTTCGCAATGGTTTCTGCTCATGGAAGAGGTAATCACGACAATAGAGGACGTGGTGGTAGAAGACGTTCTCATTGCACTCATTGCAAAAGAATGGGTCATACTAAGGAAAATTGCTTTGCTTTGCACGACTATCCTGATAAGACAGCCAATACTTCAAAATCTGAAGTTATTGAGCCCATGTTCTCTCATGAAGAGTATCAAGAATATTTAAGGATGAAATCAACTAGTCTGGCTCAAGCATCTATAACTCCAAATTCGTCAACCGCTTGCATTTTGCAATCTGTGGAAAGTCAAAATTTGTGTATTATTGACTCAGGTGCTTCTGACCACATGTCTGGTAATGTCTCTTTATTCTCCTCTCTATCATTTCCTAAAACCTATCATCTCATATCTTTAGCCAATGGATCTAAAGTAGCCTCTAAAGGGATTGGTCAAGTATTCATCTCTCCTTCTTTAAACTTACAAAATGTTCTTTGTGTTCCTTATTTTCCATTCAGTCTTGTTTCCGTAAGCCAATTAACCAAATTATTGAATTGCTCAGTAACCTTTAATGCCAATTATTTTGTTATACAGGAACGTGGTATGGATCTACTGATGGGAGAAGGACATGAATCTGAAGGCTTATACTACCTTGGGACTAATTCATTTGTATCTTGTGTTGCATCCTTATCCTCAAAACTGTTACGTGAGCGATTAGGGCATCCTCATTTGGAAAAATTGAAAAAAATAGTTCATGAACTTCAGAACCTTCAAACTTTTGAATGTGAATCATGTCAACTAAGGGAAACATACCAGGTCATCTTTTCTAAATCATTCTGAATCTAGATATGATTCTGCTTTTAGTATTGTTCATTCAGATATCTGGGGACCTAGTCGTGTTTCATCTTTTGGCTTTAAATATTTTGTTACTTTTATTGATGGGTTTTCTAGATGTACTTGGGTTTATCTAATGAAAGATCGTTCAAAACTATTGCCTATCTTTAAGTCTTTCATTAATGAAATCAAAACTCAATTTGGAAAAATAATCAAAGTTTTACGAAGTGATATGCCAAATAATATTTTTCTAATGATTTCTCTGACGTCTTAAGTTTTCAAGGCATTTTATACCAGTCCACTTGTCCTCACACACCACAACAAAATGGTATAGCAGAACGGAAAAATAGACATTTGGTTGAAACTGCTCGTACCTTATTGCTTGGTGCCAATATGCCTATTCATCATTGGTGACAATAAAGTCATCTTCTCATTAATGGGGAGATGCTATTCTAACTGCATGCTTTCTCATTAATAGAATGTCATCTTCTTCTCTTGACAATAAAGTTTCACACTTTATTCTATTCCCAAAGGAACCACTCTTTCATGTTTCTCCTCGGGTATTTGGATGTATTTGTTTTGTTCATGATATGTCTCCAGGCTTAAATAAACTCTCAGCTAGAGCTATCAAATGTGTCTTCTTGGGATATTCTCGTCTTCAAAAAGGATATCGGTGTTATTATCCTGAAACCAAGAGGTACTACATGTCTGCTAATGTCACTTTTTTTTAATCATCTCCCTTCTTCCCTTCTTCTATGCAGGATATTGATTCTGTCCGACATGTACTACATGATTTTGTCCCTTCTTTGTAACTCCTATTTCTGACACCCCAAATCCCAACCAAAATACTCCATAATAATCATAGCGTCTCATCACCTATCAACGCAGGAACTAGGTGAGCAATCCCATTCCCCAAGATGAGCCGCCCATAACAGGTCCTTCTCAATCATCTTCTACTACCACGACTCCTGATAACGATGATTCCAGTTGCCCATAGTCATTCGCAAAGGTACTCGTTCTACTCGTAATCCTCATCCCTTTTACAATTTTCTTAGCTATCATAGATTGTCTTCTTCCTATTTTTCTTTTATTTCTTCTGTATCCTCTATTACGATCCCCAAAAATGTGGTAGAAGCACTTGATCATCCTAGATGGCGACAAACCATGATTTCTGAAATGCAGGCTCTTGATCACAACAAAACATGGGAGCTGGTTCCTCTCCCTTCGGGGAAGAAAACAGTTGGTTGTCATTGGATCTATGCTATTAAAGTTGGGTCTAATGGTCAAGTTAATCGTCTCAAAGCCAGGTTAGTGGCTAAAGGGTACAGTCAGATATATGGACTTGATTATTATGATAATTTTTCTCCTGTAGCCAAAATGACCACTATCCGCCTGTTCCTTGCCATGACCGTCATTCGTCATTGGCCTCTTCATCAATTGGATATTAAAAATATTTTTTTGCACAGTGACTTAGAAGAAAATGTTTACATGGAGCAACCTCCTGGATTTGTTGCTCAGGGGGAGTCTGATTTGGTTTGTAAATTACTTCGATCTCTCTATGGCCTAAAATAGTCTCCACGTGCTTGGTTTGGAAAATTCAGCTCTATTGTTCAAGCTTTTAGATTAAAACGAAGCGAAGCAAACCATTTAGTGTTTTATTGTCACACTGCCCCTGGCAAAAATGTTTATTTAATTGTGTACGTTGATGATGTTGTCATCACAGGGAATGATGTTGCTAGAATATCTCAGCTAAAAGAGCACTTGTGTAGTCATTTTCAGACCAAGGATCTTGGAAATCTAAAATATTTCTTAGGTATTGAAGTGGCTCAATCAAGAGAAGGTGTTGTCATTTCTCAAAGGAAAAATGCTGTAAATATTCTAAAAGAGACAGGTATGATTGATTGCAAACATGTGGACAGCCCTATGGACCCAAATTTAAAATTAATGGCAGGACAAGGTGAAGCTTTCTCTGACCTAGAAATATATAGAAGACTGGTTGGAAAACTTATATATCTGACTATTACTAGACCTAATTTGTCGTTTGCAGTTGGTGTTATCAGCCAATTTATGCAAGTCCCTTGTGTTGATCATTGGAATGCTATTATTCGAATCCTAAGATACATTAAAAGAGCTCCAGGACAAGGTTTGTTATATGAAGATAAGGGAAATACCCAAATTTTTGGGTATTGTGATGCAGACTGGGCTGAATCACCTATGGATAGGCGATCTACTACAGACTACTGTGTTTTCCTTGGAGGTAATATCATTTCATGGAAAAGCAAAACGTTGTTGTCCGATCCTCTGCTGAAGCTGAACATAGGGCAATGACGTCTCTTACTTGTCAACTTGTATGGGTAAAACAATTCTTGCAAGAACTGAACTTCTGTGAGATTCAACCTATGAAGATGTATTGTGATAATCAAGTTACTCTCGACATTGCTTCCAACCCAGTATTTCATGAGAGGACTAAGCATATTGAGATTGACTGTCACTTTGTTCGGGAGAAGTTATTGTCTAAAGAAATTTGTACTGAGTTTATTGGTTCCAATGATCAGCTTGCAAACGCATTAACAAAATCTTTGAAAGGACCTCGAATGGAATTCATTTGTTCTTAGCTTGATACATACAATTTGTATGCTCCAGCTTGAGGGAGAGTGTTGAGTATTTATTAGATTAGTTGTATCTAACTATTGACCTAGTTCCTAGAATGTATCTATTTATCTTCTCTAGGTTTAATCATTTCCCCCTATTTATTGTATCTTAGAATCTGTATCTTTATCCCCTATAAATAAGAGAACACAAGAGAAAAGGATAAGCTCTCAAAAACATCTTTTTATTTTCCTATTATCTATTTCAAGCACAAAGGTCCAAATCTATCACATTTTTACCCACCAAAACATATGATCTAATACCATGATTCCCCCATGATAATTCCAGCTAATAATCCTAGTAAGTTCTTCAATTAGCCGTCATGAAATCATAGCTATGAGATTACTTCATAAATTATAAAATTTCACAAGCTTGGGAAGCCCAAATCAAAGACAAAGAACTTCTAATCCAAATGAAAGTGTAACATACAACTATTAGATTATTGGTCCAACAGAAAAGCAGTTTTATAAGTAATAAGCTACTAATAATAGAAGCATTTTTGAACTTCAAGAATTTAGAATGAAGAATCATGGTCCAGTTGGATCATATAATTTGTTTGCAACCTAAGTTTGGAAAACCGTTTCAAGGGAATTGCTCTTTTAATATGCATAGAGAATAATAGGCAGATTTGCTATTAAATCACTTAATACAAGCTGGAACCATTAGGTAGAGGCACACAAAGTGGTTCCATGGCTCTAAAATACCCCCTTGTGTAACAGCTTTTTAAACTTGAAGTATGGACAATCATAGAGTTGGGAATTCTCAATGGAGATGGAGGTTTTTATAAGTATAACGTATAAGATGGAGAGTTGCCAATGGCCTTATCTTGACAAGGAACAATGGTCTTGCAACCAAATAGCACCTTGCTTCCTAGGGTAGATGTTGGTCAAATTTGGCTTAAGCCCAATTTTAAATGATGGAATTTTATACATTAATGACATATTCTCTTCTCTATCTTTTACATTAAATCCTGAACTTTTATCATGGAGTCGAAGCAAAATTCAATCCAAGCACCAATGGGTTATGGGCCCACCGAAAAACTATTGAAAGATAACAATAATAGCTTATATTCATACTTACAGCTATAAAATGTGTTAATGCAGGACGGTATAACACAGCTTTCCGTGGGTTTGCTGGTAAAGTAGGGTCAGCAATGTCTTGGATGTAACTGATACGACTAGTCCCGCTAGCCCCATTTTGGCTAAGTTTTGAACTGCTAGACTGGTAAAATAAGCCACTGGGTTCCCACTCCAGACATTGAAGCATCCTAAAAGTGTCAATAGTGAGCTCTGAATACTTTACCTGTTCAGGAATAATAGTTGAAAAACATATTCAAAGATCATAACATTTTGCAGAATATTATTGTGGCAGTAAAAACTACCACATGATTTATCATTTTCAACAAATTGTTCTTAAATATAAATGAACAAAAAGAGTTGTGATACCAACCTCATTTTGATGGAAACTACTTAATACAGCATCTCGTAGTTTCAAATGTCGCTTCGCAATGGCTGCAGCAACATGTGGCAAGGTATCAGGATGAGGGTCCAAAACTAGACTGTATCTTAGTGGCCTGAGATTCATAAAAGCAGTGTCAGCTTTTAAAAATCTGACTATTTCTTGAACCACCAGCTTCCATTCTTTAAAGTCACTTTCCTGTAACCAAATTGTTCGAAGGTCACTTCCAATACATCTGCAAATGTCAATCTATCAAAATATATTCTGGATACTGGACACCATCATGTTTTGCATGGAACCCTCTAATTAGCAGTCTAGTACAATGTAGCTTAGTTAATCTGTAATAAATATGCATTACATGGATATTTTGCACAGTTGCGGTTAGTTTAGATGTTTACTTCTCAACAGACACCAAAATTAGCAAAAAACAAATAAACAGCAGAATAATGTTAGATACAAATAAAACTAATATAATAAGCCTTCAACTAATTTAGTTCGGCATAATTACTTTTCCCAAATACTCAGTACCTGTATATCACAATATATTATGGAAATGAAATTATGTTTCAATGATCTATACAAGAGAAAATTAACATGGACAAACCTGGAACGCTCTCTTGCAATCATCAACTAATGCTTTAAGCTGATTAACCAATTGCTGCATCATTTCCCTTCGATTCAAAATCAAACACACCATTATGAATCTAGCGAGAAACCTCAATTGTTTGTTTGCAATATTCACATCCTGAAACAATCCCTCCTTAAAATACTCCCGAGTCAAAATGGCCTCATAGAATATATATGACTCTGATAGATAATTTGCGTCACTTGTTTGCATGTACTGCCCAAAATACAGTTGACCAATGCGAGATGCAATCTCACCAATTTCCCATCTCCTAAGCCCTGCTTCAACTAGCTTCTGCCGATTCTCCTGCTGAAACTTCCATAATTGTGTGTACACCTTGAACACCTTATAAAAGTATGTATCGTGCCTACAACAAAGTCACATGATTAGAATTTAAGATATCAACCAAAACCTATAGGTAGCCTCTCAATTAGAAATTCTAAGGTGTTTCTGTTTTCCAATTAGAATTTTTCCAATGAAATTTATACTGACCTTAAACATAAATCTCTATTATGCATATTATTGAGGTGAAACTCCAATTCGGATTGAAGAATGTTAGAGCATACTCTTCACAGCTGTTACTGGTCAGTAATCAAGCTGTCATTCTTTTAGTCAGTAGTGAACCGTATTCTGCTGCTGTTTAGTAATCCAATTGTCAGTCCGTTAGTCAGTGAACTGTAGTCTGTTACTTAGTTGGTTACTTGTCTGTTATTTAGTTAGACCTTAGAACAGATCCCATCACTTTGTACATTGCTCAATATACAGAGATGCTATCTATTCTTAACATAAATAGTTTTCTTTTTCTCAGTTTCTGCCTCTCTATACTAACAAAGTGCACCAAAAGTGCATAAGAAACTATATCTAAGTTCTATTCATATTTATTCCTCAATCTCGGGACATATCATCAACCCTGTTCTGGTTTTCATCACATGGAGCAGCAAAAATCAACATTACTTCTGTTGAATATAGGGAAAAACTATAGGGTTAATTTCCCTTATGTATTTACCACACACCACACATAGGGCAGTGTATTTATAATAAAGAAAGGTACTCCTCAAAAGAGTAACAGAATACAAATAGAGTAAATAAAAAGATATTATTTGATATTGTGATTAACAATATCTAACAATATCTCAACAATATCAAACAATATCAACTAATATCTAATCATATCTAACACTCCCCCTCAAGCTGGAGCATACAAATCGTATGTGCCTAGCTTGGTACAAAGATAATCCATCCTAGGTCCCAGTAAAGACTTAGTGAAAATATCGCTAATTGATCACATGAGTTAACGAACTCGGTCTTGATGTCTCCGGACATAATCTTTTCTGAATAAAATGGCGAGTCAATCTCAATGTGTTTAGTCCTCTCATGAAAGACAGGATTAGAGCTTATATGGAGAGCGGCTGATTGTCACACACTAGTGTCATTTGAGTGACATCTCCAAATTGTAGCTCTTTAAGCAATTGCTTGAGCCAAATAAGTTCACGGTAGGCGAGGCTATAGCTCTATACTGCGCTTCGCACTTGGATCTTGCCACGACACTTTGTTTCTTACTTTTCCATGAGATCAAGTTACCACCAATGGAAACACAATACCCGAGATGTAGATCTTCTATCGAGAGGGAGATCTGCCTAATCGACATCCGAATAGCGAGACAACTCTTGGATGATTATGAGAGTCATACACCAAACCTTTTCCAGGAGACTTTTTGATGTACTTCAATATACGGATGACTGCATTCCAATGATCTTGACAAGGAGAATTGAGGAATTGACTCACCACACCGATTCGCAAAGGAAATGTCGGGGCGAGTAAGCGTAAGATAATTTAATTTTCCAACTAATCTTCTATACTTGTTCGGGATCCGACATTGGCTCCCCTTGATTTGGCAAGAGTTTGGTATTAGGATCCATGGGTGTGTCAACGAGGCTTTGAATTCATCAACCCAGTTTCCTCCAAAATATCCAATGCATACTTTCTTTGAGATATAACAATGCCATCGGTAGATTGTGCTACCTCAATACCCAAGAAATATCCGAGTTTGCCAAGATCTTTGGTTTGAAAATGGTGGCAAAGGTGTTGTTTCATCCGAGAGATGCCATGATGGTCACTACCTGTAAGAACAATGTCATCGACATACACTATCAAATAGATACATCCGGCATTCGAGTGACGGTAAAAGGCTGAGTGGTGCGCCTCACTTCTAGTCATGCCAAATTGTTGAACAACGCTGCTAAACTTTCCAAACCAGGCCCTAGGAAGCTGTTTTAGGCCATATAAAGATTTGCGAAGACGACATACCAATCCGAGAAGACTCCCCCGAGCAACAAATCCAGGAGGTTGCTCCATATAAATCTCTTCTTGCAAATCGCCATTCAAGAAAGCATTTTTGACATCCGAGTTGATAAAGAGGCCATTGTTGAATAGCGACCATGGCAATGAATAAACGAAGAGAAGCCATCTTTGCCACTTGGAGAGAAAGTATCACCATAATCCAACCCAAAAATTTGGGTATAGCCTTTGGCTACAAGGCGAGCTTTGAGGCGATCAATAGTACCATCAGGACCAACCTTGATAGCGAAGACCCACCTGCAACCAACAACGAGATTTTCCGAGATGGTAATGGGACAAGCGTCCAGGTTCCACTAGTCCGAAGAGCACCGAGTTCATCTAGCATGGCCCGACGCCAACCGGGGTGGGCTAAGGCTTCGAGAGACAGATTTAGGAATAGACACGAGAGGAAATAGACGAGAGATAGGTATAAAATGGTGAAGAAATTCGATGATAACTTAAAGCGAGTATAATGTGGAGAAGGATTACGAGTAGAACGCGTACCTTTACGAAGAGCAATAGGAAGGTCGGACTACGTGGACGAAGCCGGAGGAGACGAGTATTTGGCACTGGGTGTGAGTCATGTGGCGTCTGTTGTGGGCGAGGTCTGCGACTATAAACCTGAAGGGGTGGTGGAGGAGGAGGGGCTAATGGTGGATGGTCCTCAACATAAGGATCAATGAGAACAGGAATGGGAACTGTAGCAGATGAAGACTCAGCAGGTAGGGAAGGGTCCTTAAAGTAAAAGGAAAACTCATTGAAGGTGACATCGGCAGACACAAAATAGCGATTAAGAGAAGGAGAAAAACACTTGTATCCTTTTTGGGATCGAGTAAATCCTAAAAAAAAACATTTGTGTGATCGAGGAGATAACTTATCATGACCAGGATCAAAATTGTGGACAAAACAGGTAGACCCAAAAACCTTCAGAGGTAAAGGATGGAGAGTGTCATGAGGAAATAAAATAGAATGGGGAATTTTGTTATCTAAAACCGAAGAGGGCATACGATTAATAAGATAACAGGCAGTAAGAACAGCATCACCCCAAAAATGTTGAGGAACCTCACCATGAATTAAAAGAGTACGGGTTGTTTCAATAAGGTGTCTATTCTTGCGCTCAGCCACCCCATTTTGTTGAGGGGTATAAGCACAGGAAGTTTGATGAAGAATGCCATGAGAAGCCATAAATTGTTTAAACGAGTTTGAAAGATATTCACGGCCATTATCACTTCGAAAAGTTTGAATAGAGACACCAAATTGATTTTTAATTTCATGATAAAAGTTTTGGAATATAGAAAACAACTCGAACGATTTTTCATTAAAAATAACCAAGTACAACGAGAGAAATCATCAATAAAAGTAACAAAATATTGAAAACCTAAATTAGACTTAACACGACTTGGGTCCCCAAATGTCGGAGTGAACTAAGGCAAAGGGGGATGAAGCACGCTGGGAAACACTATGAGAAAAGGAAGTACGACTATGTTTGCCTAACCGACGGGACTCACACACCAAATTGGACAACTCGGGATAAGCTGGGAACAAGTTGCTGTAATTTGCGCAGACTGGGGTGACCAAGCCGAGCATGAAGGAGAGAAGGAGACTCCATAACCGTGCCAACATGTGGAGAAGGTTGAAGATAATAAAGTCCATGTGACTCACATCCAGGTGCCAATCACTCTTTGCGAGCTCCGGTTACGTAGGGAAACGAAGTTTTGGTAAAAGAGATAACACAATCAAGAGATCGAGTTAGACGGCTAATGAATAATAAGTTAAAGGGGGACCCGGTACATACAAAACATTATCAATGGACAACGAGGGAAAAAGAGTAACTGTTCCAACACCATGAGCTAAAGTTGTAGACCCATTAGCCATTGTAACGAGAGGGTAAATTATGAGAAGAAGTGAAAGAGGAAAATAAGGATTTGTTACCGAGTGATGTGATCGGTGGCGCTGAGTCAAGAACCCAAGGGCCAATAGAAGAAGAGTGAGTCAGACCAGCAAAAGATGTACCTGTGTGGGCAACAGAAGTAGTGGAACTGGAGGGCTTTCGATCCTCATACCATTGAAGAAAATCATTGAAGATAGCAGATTTGTCTGAAGGTACAGACGAAGGAGGATCCACAGCAGAGGATTGTGCGGAAGAATCAGTCTGAGCAACTGCAGCAGATCGGCGAGGATAACCATGTAAAGCATAACATTTGTCAATTTTGTGGCCTAGTTTGCCACAATGGTCACACTTGGCACGCCCTTTGCCTGGCTTGTGAGAGCGATTACGATCATCACGGTGAGAGGCCAAGGCAGATGAATGGGAACCCAAAATCTGGTCACGAACAGGGGCATATTTATCAGCAAGTCCGTGTAACATCAAAACCATGAAAAACTTTGATCGTTGCTCTAATTCTTGGGCAGGAGTCGAGGCAGGGGGTAATAACTCATTAAATTCATGGAGAAGAGCATGGATCTTACCCACATAATCCGCCACAGGATCCTTATCTCGAGGAGCAATAACATCAAGGAGATTTGTTTTGGTGTATTTGGTGTATAATAATTTGGCTTGTTCCCAAACGTCATAACATGTGCCATACGATCGAAAAATTTGTTTTAAAGAAGATTGGATGGTATTCTTGAGAACCATACATATATGAGTATCAACTTTCTTCCAACGGACACGATCATTGGAAGAAACATCATCTACCTTGGTAGTAAGATGATCAACATACCCCTGACTCTCAAGCCAAAGTCTAATATCAGATGCCCAAGTTGCATAATTCGTACCATCTAATTTATCAATGGGTAAATTCACATTGACATAATTAGTAAAAACAGATTGCTCGAGACCCACCGAGGCGACGGAGGTAACTTCGAATTGGAAGTGGCGACGGAAGATGCCATGGAGGAAGAGAGAGAAAAACCCTAAAACACCAAAGAGGTCCGATTGGAGCAGCGAGGACAGATCCGAGAGAGAGGAGAAGGAGGCGACGCCGGCGCAAAGATCGGCGGCCTGAACGGCGGCGAGACGCGCCGCCACGCGCGGCAGAACGGGAGAAGGTGGCACGGCTTCGGGAGGCGCGTGATGGAGCGTGGCTGCTCCGATGACCGCGAAACTTCCACGGTGGAGGTCGCACGGAGGAGGCGAGCAAAACCCCGTGCTCGACGGCGGCGGACGGCGGTGGCGACGGCGGCGGCGATGGAGGCGGCGACAGCTGCAGGTTCAGTGGCAGAGCCGAAAAAAAATCCCAAGAGACCTTAAGCTCTTGATACCATGTTGAATATAGGGAAAAACTGTATAGGGTTAATTTCCCTTATGTATTTACCACACATAGGGCAGTGTATTTATAATAAAGAAAGGTACTCCTCAAAAGAGTAACAGAATACAAATAGAGTAAATAAAAAGATATTATTTGATATTGTGATTAACAATATCTAACAATATCTCAACAATATCAAACAATATCAACTAATATCTAATCATATCTAACAACTTCCAATTACATTCACAAACCACACCATCAATGTGATAATGTCAACTCCCAATGAACCATCATCGAAACAAAATTCTTACTCCACAATATAGGTTGCACGATAAATCCTAAAATATCTTAGCTTCAAGGCTTACCTCTCAAACAAATCATCAAATAACTCCTCTTTACAACATCAAATTAACCCAAATTTCCCTTTCTCTCTCTCTCTCTCTCCCATCAGTGTGGGGTCTTAAAAAACAGTCTGCAACCACAATTTTAGCCTTAGCAACAAGATTTTTGGGGAAACTGCAACTGCATCGGCAACTTTTACCGGTCCCACAATGTTAAGAATCACAACGCAACAACAATGCAATTTAACACCTTATCTGTGACAAATAAACAAATATTAAAATGAAACAATTCGCACATAAAATTGAAAACACACCCACACAAGTGTGTTGTAAATTAAAAATACTATTCTGTCCACTCCCAATACGCTCATCATCATAATGAAATCCTTACTTCCCAAGACAGTGTGTGCAATAAATCCTAATATATCTTAGCTTCAAGGTTCACCTCTTCAACAAATCATCAAATAACACCTCCTTACCACATTCAACTAACCCATTCTTGCTTCCATTCTCTCTATTGTTATCATCAGAGTGAGCTTTTAAAAAACAGTCTGCAACCGTTATTTAGGCTACAACTTGAAGGTTAAGATATCGCAGTTTTGAAAAACATTATGCAACCGCAACATCAAGGTTTGTGGGCCCACTGTAATTGCATCATTTGTTAGCAACTTCCCGCAATGTGAAGGATCACAACTAAACCACAACCACAAATGAAAACCTTGCATTTGAAAAATAAATGAATAGTAAAATAACATGAAACCATTCGCCCTATATTTAAAAACACTCACAAAAAGCATGTCCTAGATTGAAACACACCAATCTCAAGGTCAACTCCCAAAGAACTCATCATCATAATGAAATCCTTACTCGCCACTCCCAAGATAGCATGCACCAGAAATCCTCCCTAACAATTCGCCCAAGAACTCATCATCATATAGGACACACTCATCAAAGCGTGTCCTACATCAAAACACACCAATCCAAAGGTGAAATTAAATTAACAAACAAGCGAGTATAGTTACGGATGGGAACCTGCTGCGCTGGTAAAAAGGAAGGTCTCTGATTTTGGAGAACTTTTTGTCCGCTTTATCAACGAGAGTCCAGAAAACCTCGCTCACTGGGATGTTCATGCTGCCGCTGCCGCCGCCGCCGCCGCCACCACTGTTCTGCATTTGCTGCTGCTGCGAACACATCTGCCGACGACGTCGTTTGGATTTGCGACCCGAATCGATGGATAGTGATGACAACGCCAACGCAAACACACGCCTGAAAGAAGGAACTACGCGAAGTTCTTCGCTCAGTGATGATTGTGCCCACTTTCAGCGCTTGGCTTCTTTATCAATGTTTCTTTTCCTTTTTCTCTTCTTTCTTTAGCATCTCCTTAACAATAATAAATAAATAAAAACTTAATTTTCATATGTTAATTAAAAGCTTAATGAAAGTTAATTAAAAGCTTGATGATTTTTTGTTTTATTTGTGAAAGTTAATTAATAATTTGATGATTTTTTAAAAGAAATTTGTTTTTATCAATTAACAATGGATGTGATTTTTATAGAAAAATTACTGTCAAAGCTAATAAATTAATAAATATTGTTCTTTGTTATTGAATGAGAATGTAAAAAAATTGCACTATCATTACATATAAATGTATTTCTCTTCATTTTAATGTTACCTTTTTATATATAAAAAAATTATCTATTTCTCATTTCTAAAACTTAAAATAATTTTTTTACTAAGGATGTACTATTTTTTTAAAGTCAAATAATATTTTATATATTATCTGAATTTCTAAATTTATTATATAATAAAAATATTTTTTATATTAATCTATATTATTATAATAATATATAATTAATTTATTAATTACTTAATTATAATTAATATTAAATAAATAAAAATTATTATTTAAAATATCTTCAGAAAATATCTATAACATGATTCTTTTATTATTTACTAATTATCTTAGTTTTTTAATATTCAACTTACTCAATCTAATAATACCAAAATGATAATAATTTGAATTAATTATTCGAACTTATTTGCTATTATAATTTTTAAGTTAAAACCCGTATGAATACTTAATTTTAGAATTTGTTAAAGAACTCAATTCTAAAATCATTTATCAATTATATTATTATTTTAACCTACTTTTTAATTAATTAAGACTTATCACTAATACAGAATAAAAATTTAAAATAATAAGAGTTTAACAAATAAACATAAACTAGTCATAACTAAGTTAATACAAAATTATTATTGTAAAGGTAAGTCAATCTAATACGATAATTCATAATTGGATGAGTATAAGTGCTTAACCAATAACATCAATCTTCAAACATAACATTTTTGCATAAAAAAGAGAAAGATTATATACTATTTAATAGTTAATAGAGTGACTTTGCATTCTCATCCAATTAATAACATACTATATATTAGTTTGTTAATTTTAATTATGCCAGAGTAAAAAGTTTTTAAACAATTAGATAATTGATAAGTCATTATATTTTCATATTTTCTTATTTTTTTATTTATTTTAATTAGTGTTTTGGGCATAAATGTCTATTATTAGAGAATTTTTATTAATTAGATTTTATTGGGCCAGTAATTCAGATTTTAATTGATTTGTATCAATTTAATCTAATTTTTGCTCATTATTATTTTCAGAACAATTTAAAATAATTTTGGGCTTGGAAGATTAGGTCAAATGTCATGTCGATCTGTCTATTAGGATTAGGGTTTTTGTTTTATTTGTTTTTAATGTATTTTGTGAGTCAATTGGGTCAAAACTTGGATTAAGATTAGGGTTTAGGGTTATTTATGTTAGTGATCACGTAGGGTTAAAGGAGGCATATCATGTGGAGGCACATCACGGAGTCGCATCCTCGGAACGCCAATTTCTTCTTCAAAATTTTGTATTTAAATTTGTTTACTCTTCTGTCATTATTTTAAATTCTTTTTTCAATTTTAATTATGTTTTTTCTTCTGCGTTTTTGATTTTCCATGGATAGTTAAATCTTTGTATTGATTTTCTAAGGAGAATACAGTAGATCTTTGAGGTTTTGTTCTTCTATTCCGTTTGTTCTCTTAACTCTTCATCTTCTGATCTCAATGTTGAATTATAATCTTTTTATGCTTAATAAACCGAAACCAATATCACGGTTTGCTTAATCCTGTGTTAGAGATGTGATGTATGCAATGCTTAATTGTATAAGGATAATTTGAGTTAATCTTCACTTAGTTGGTTAATTTTGGGTTTGAATAAGAATTAAAATAATTTAATTTCGTAACCTAGGATAAGTAACACTGCATTCGGAAATCAATTGTTTTTTCATTGTTTTATTTAAATTCTATTTTCGTTAATTTACTATTTATTATTACGCAAACCCCTTTTCTTTTCAAATTTAATTACTACACTATTTTATTTTAAAACAATTTTTTATTCTTACAATTTTAATTAAAAACGCTTTATTTTAATTTTATAAATTTTAGTTACTTAAATTACTGCATTAATTTATTTCTCTTTCACTCTTTCATTCATACTTTATTTATTGTTTTAGAGATAATGATATATGATAATTAGTACGTTCTTATAATTATGTCCTTGTGATATTCGACACACGTGAGCTATATTGTATTAGTTTAGCAACTTGCTTATTAATTTTTATCAGTATTTTGTGTAACCGAAATGCTGTTATCAATTGGCGTCGTTGCAAGGGATATAATTGTGTTGCGTAATATTGTCTAATATCATTTTTTTTTCTTTTTCTAGCTTTATTTAAAAAAAATTAAAAAAAAGGTTATTAAAATTTGTTTTTGTGTGCTCCCTAACCATTTTTGCTGGAAATTCTAGATATAGTTATCTTGTAGGAAGAGTTTGATAACCACTATTGTAGGAAATTTTGGATATAACTTGGTAGTGTGAGGGTACATGTCTAGGAGGGTTCTGGCTAGGAAAGACTTGGTACTTAAACATGTCCATTAGTGACCCACCTTTCTTTTATGGGAACCTACCTAGTGTACTTGTTCACGGTCTACTATTATTTATATTCCGGTAGGACCTTTAATAGTGCATGACTAGGAGCAATCCTGACCTCTTACAACCTTTTGATCCTGAAATAGATAGGACCTTTCATAGATTAGTTAGACATTCTAGGAATTCATCTCTTGAGTCTGTACCGTTAGATAGTCTTAGTGACAACCCTGATAGTCCTGCATCCAATACACCTTCTTCACATAATTTCCAAACTGATAACATGGGACGTGTTGGGCCTCGTGAGATAACACTTAGGGAGATGGTTGCACCTGATTTTACATATGCGAATTTATGCATTCAATATCCCGAAGAGGATGTTCATTTTGTGCTTAAAACTGGACTAATCCATTTGTTGCTTAAGTTTCATGGTCGTGCAGGTGAAGATCCACACAAGCATCTTAAGGAGTTTCACATAGTTTGTTCCACCATGAGGCCTCAAAATATTCCAGAAGATCACATTTACTTGAAGGAATTTCCTTTCTCTTTAGAGGATCTTGCTAAGGACTGACTATATTATTTGGGTCCTAGTTCAATTGTAAGCTAGGATGACCTGAAGAGAGTGTTCCTAGACAAATTCTTCCCTACATCTAGGACCACTGCTATTCGAAAGGATATTTCTGGAATCAGGCAAACTGCTGGAGAGAGCTTATATGAGTATTGGGAAAGATTTAAAAGACTTTGTGCTAGTTGTCCTCATCATCATATTTATGAGCAATTGTTACTGCAGTATTTTTATGGGGTGCTAAACATAATGGATAGAAACATGATTGATTCATGATGTTGGTTCCTTGGATGCAGCTACACAGAAGTTTGAGAGTAAGATTGATGCTCTCACCACACAGGTCACCCAGCTTACTACAAATTAGAGAACAACACATGCTGCAAGAGTTTGTGGCATATACACTTCAAATGATCATTATACAGATGTTTGTCCATCATTGCAACAAATTGCAGGTTCTGATGCTCCTCAAGCTTATGCTGCAAATATCTAAACTAACAGGGTTCCACATCAGCAGCAAAAGACTTGTCATCCAACAAATATAATCCTGTCTGGAAGAATCATCCAAACCTGAGATGGGGCAATAATCCAGTGCAAAACCAAACACCATTTTAGCAGAATCAACCTTCGAGTTTTTCACAACAGCCTCCTCCCCAATTAAGACCTTCACCTTCGTTGGAGGAAATGGTCAGGCAAATGACTGAGTTGAATCTGCAGTATCAATAGAAAAATAATGCCTCCATTCAAAGTTTAACCAACCAGATTGGCCAATTAGCCATTGTTGTGAACCAACTGCATTCACAGAATTCGGACAAGCTTCCTGGAAAAACTGTTGCTAATTCGAAGAATGTTAGTTCCATCAACCTGCAACTAGGCAAGACAATTGTACCTGACGTCCCTATTCAAATAAGTGATGGAGCTGCAACAACAAAAGGGAAGGGTCCTATGCAACTAGAAGAGGAGTAGATTGGTAGTAGAAATCAGTCAACCAACCCTTCTCCAACAAGCCAGCAACAACATTCTTCCACCCCCCTTCAATTTCCACCAAGAGCAGTTCCAAGCAAGAAAATGGAAGAGGTGGATAAGGAGATTTTAGAGACTTTTAGAAAAGTTGAGGTCAATATACCTCTCTTTGATGCAATTAAGCAAATTCTGAGGTATGTCAAGTTCCTTAAGGAGTTTTGCACTCACAAGAGGAGGCTTAAAGGTAATGAGCGAATCAGTTTGGGCAAAAATGTGTCTGCACTCCTCATACTCCTGAAAAGTGTACGGATTCTGATACATTTACCATACCTTGCATCATAGGCAATAGGAAATTTGAAAATGCCATGCTAGACTTAGGAACATCTATAAATGTCATGCCTATGTCTGTTTTCAATTCTTTGTCCCTTGGACCCTTAAAACCCATAGGTGTGGTTATTCAATTGGCAAATAAAAGTACTGCCCACCCTATTGGTGTTATTGAGGATGTTTTGGTTTGAGTTGATAAACTCATTTTTCCTGTTGACTTTTATGTTCTTGAATGGAAGAAGGGTATTCCCATGGTTCAATACCCATTATTTTAGGTAGACCATTTAAGTACAACCCGAACTAAGATAGATGTCCATGCTAGTACACTTTCTATGGAATTTGATGATTGTGTGGCTAGGTTCAACATCCAT